CCATCAATACATTTCCTGTTAATTTCCATCTAGTGTTTATTTGCAGAATTTTTTGCTAGCATTGATTGTTTGTTCAATTTCATCAAATCTTCAAATGTGTTCATATCATTTTAATAGATTAAGGAAGGCTTCAGGATTATTGGAATCAATTTATTGTTTATTGAAATTTTTTTCATTTTTTTGTAGCAAAATATATACTCTGTGAGTCATATAATGTGTTTATTTATACTTATGCTCTGTGCACATCTATTTAGCCATCCAACGAAACCCATCCACTCATATTCCCTTCTTTTTACCTAGCCTGTTTGAGAAGTTTGAGACACTAAATTATAGGTTGACAAGAAAAAAGAAAGAGAAATGAAGTACTGTTAGTAGGTATAATTCGTTAGTTTCTTACATACATTTGCTTAACTAGAATGAGCTGTATTCGTAACATCATTTGCTCTGACTTATCCTAGCATTATTATTTATAATTTAGGTAATGTTTTGGACATATTAATAAACTTTATCTTGCACTTGTTTTTGAAAAGGAGTTCATGCACCAAAATTACTGTATTTTTCAGACACTTAATATATATTTTTACCTAATTTGTTGTAAGACGAAACGTTGGTTTTTTTTATTTAGCCTATTCATTTCTTCATTCCTAGAATCAATCCTTTCCAAGTTGCTTACTTGTTATCGGGAAACAAATTTCTATGTTTTCCTAAAATTTAGCATTTTTCCTTCAAAGCATTTAGGAACATCAAAAGGGTTGTTTACGATAGCAGACAGTGGATAGAATTCAATTTCATCGAAGATGATGAATTTTTACAATAGTAGTGTGGATCTTGAACTCTACTGTAAGACGATACGTTAGATTTACAACTGAAATAAGCTTGGTGTGCTTATTGCGATATTAATGAAAGTGGTGTTTTTAGTTCTGGACAAATTCTGTTTTTAACGGCAAATCATTATGAAGGTTTGGTTTTTATAATTTAAACAAATATTCAAGGTCTTTTTATCCAGTGGTTTCATACTGATAAATATTTTCCGGAATAGATGCTACTCCATTATTTCCAGGGTGTTCCAAAGATGATATGTTCGAAAATGAAAATCTCAGGAACTGGCACAAACGTAAATGCCGCAGCTGTATTTGCAACCCATCTCAATGCATTATCTTCCAGTGTACTAATGGTATGGTCACGAAATCACCAACAGCTTTTTATCATTGTCGGGAAATGTAATGGTGATGTTAGTCTTTACTGGTTTTTTCTCGTATAATGGATATCAACAGTGTATTGATTGGGATTTGTGTCTGAGTTTGGGATTGGCAGTATCAGCGCGGAACTGGGCATTGGGACAATTAATCGTATGCTTGTTCATGAAATTAGTAAAGGCTTAGTAAATTAGGAACTGTTCTAGAATTATTTCGTCAACTGTAAACGGAACAGTGAACTGGAACAAAACTTTCTTTGTTATGGGGTAAAGTAAAACAATAGGACGCAAGTAGTGTCCTGGATGAAACACTTTTAGCGTTTTAAAATCTTTTTACTTACTCACTTTGCTTCAAACTTGCCCGTATTTTTACTCTACCTGCTCTTTTCCGGTATTATGGAAATGATCGCCTCATTCATGTTTATTTCCAACTACAGAATCTTAATTTATTTCAGTTACTCTTTTTTACAACCAGCAGGCAATATGTAAAATTGGAAAATATCTTTAAAAGTCCTTTGACAACAATTTGCTTTGGGAAACTAAGGCAAAGCAGGTTGGTTTATTGTAGTACTTTTTTGGGATTTATTACAAATTATTTGCTTCATTAAGAATTGTACTTTCAATTTTGACCATTCGTAGAGAGATAGGCTCGTGACCATGTCTACATTAAATCAATAATCATTCAAAACACTAATTTTAATATCTTAGATGACTTAAAATAACGTCAAAACGACTGATATTGTAAATCCTTTCAAAAATCATATATTCGATTTATACTTGCACCGCCATCATCGGATGTTTTTAGCGACGAAATAGTTGCCATATCGGCAAGTGGTCAGATACGTTCTTTCGATTTTCCACAGACGGACACCCAGAACGGCGAGTTACAGAAACCTTTGCCACTTTTCGAGCAACTCGTTCAGGCCAATATATGCACGTCATACATTGGTGACATTGATGGTGATGGTTCATCAGAGTTGCTGGTTTTGATGACCGACCGATGCGGTCAGTTATTTTTGTTGTATAATATTCTCAGACTTGCTTCATTTTACCTACCTTGAACTATTTTTCGGTGATAGCTTGTTTGAAATACGACTTTTTTTGATCCAAAAATAGGATCAATTCTTAAAGATTATGAGTAGCATTAGATGATCTTGTTTCGATGAGGTCCAAAATACTCTGATGGAATACCGACAAATCTTGATGATGCTTTGAAGCTTAAAAGAATGGTCATTCTTTTTAATATGAATTTTAGTAAGAACTTATCGTTATGTTGCAAATCATCTGGCACCACTGAACAAATATGAAGTACCGTCACATGTTTATGGCTTTGCACTTGGTACCACAACTTCCGGTCTCTATTATGCACTTCTGGTAGAACGAAATGAAAATTATGTGGTGAAGATTGATTTTGGTTCAGACAGGTGCAACATTTTGCCACAAACATTGGATTCCAGTCTTTCGAGTCGAAAGCTTGTGGTCCCCAGTCAGCCGATATTTCTGAGCTTAGTTGGATCACTTGCCGCTCGGCTGCTTGTGATCAATCCAGGTTATTTCACGTTTTTCTCTTTGCATATAAAACATTGGTGGTGTAATACATTTTGTAACATTAATTTCTTAAATTTTGTAAAAAGTTATCAACAAACGAAATCATTTTGAATGGTTTGACAACTGATTTTTGTTCGGTCATATCCAGTATTGACACTCAATTATCGAAAGCTGAAATTCCCTGAATTACCATCGCATTCAAGTTGTTCTAGAGACTGGAATTCATTTCATACCACATTTGAGGCATTCTCTGCTCTTGCAGAAAGTGGTACCGAGATAACGCTGGAGAATCCGGTAGGCGATTTTATTTGTGCAACTACCGTTAATCTGCAGAGTATGTATGTTGCGATGACACTGGATGTTTTCGGTACCTTACTAATTTATGGATGGAGTGACTACACTGTAAGTATGCCATAGTAACTCATTCTAACTACACCGTAGTGACTCATTCTTTCATAAAGACTTTTTTCTATGACTTTAAAGACGTTTTTTCCTTATTCTTCTTTTTTTTCTTTTTTTTCAGAATTAGAAGTCGGAAAATTTTGCCATTTTTTGTTCCATTCTTATTTTTTCCTTCCTTGTTATTTTTATTTTAGAGCAAATGCTAAATCCTATGAAGTTCAGAGTATTTGAACTGTTTATTTTCGTATGAGATTTTTAATAAATCTACGGAATGCACGTATTGTAGACTTGTCGAGCATATCTTATAGCAAAAACGACAATTCTACCGGATGCGGATCGTATCACTGCTCTACCAGGCCGGAATGAAAACGAAGTTCTTTTTTGTGTATGTACAGTATACTTCAAAATTGCTGTTTATCGAATTGATCTGTCGTCTGTGATTAGTTGATTTCTGATTTTATCGAGAAACTTCTATCTAGCAAAAGTATTGGAAAAATGATTAGGAATAATGAAAAGATGAAAATAAACATCCGTTTGCCAGGCCGAGTGTTTTGATAGCATCGCTCAAGTCCTGGAAAGCTTTTGGAATTATGCGTTTTATTAAATATATGTTTCAAAAAGAAACCAGATAAGATTATTTCTATTCCTTTTCACATTTTCTTCAATGCATCAGTCCAGATCTATTGTGACACTGAATTTTGGACTCAGCAATGAAGTGCTGGGATATTTCGAAGTGACATAGATATATGGTGCAATATATTAACTGTAGAATTAACCAGTTCGTAATGAACAACCTAATTTATACATGGTTTAAATTTAAATACTGAGCACTTTTTTTGATCCATTTCTCGATTTGTGATTAGATAATTCTTGTGGCATGATGTTGTCACCTGCTGCCCACACCTTTATTTGCGGCATTATATATATTTTTCATGTATATTTTGTTTTGGATATTTTTTCTTTTATTTTTCCTGTAATATTTAGAGTATCATTATGTTAAATGTATTTATCTATATTGGTGTAATCAACCGCTCTCTAATTAGGAGAAATTTTTGGGTTTTGGCTGTAGGTCATTCATGCTGTGGGATATTACAAGATGAATAGAAATACTTATTGTTCGACAAATTTCCTCTCAGACCGCGGCGAAATTTCCGAGCTATTGTAAGTAAATAGTGGTACAGTGTTCAACATAATTTATTGTTTTTTTTTATTTATCAGTTTTTGATACTTCATTTTGCTTGTTATATAGTAGTATATATATATAT